AACATAACATACTGGAGAGGAATATTCTCTGCAAAATGTGGAATAAAGTCAATTATCTGTTCCCCTTGAGAGGTAAATGCAGAAGAAAAAACCCCTAAGGGACCCTATTGCTTTTAGTGCCAACTGATCTGGATAGCTGAATGCTAGAGAAGTTTTAAGAGTGAAACCGACATTTTTTGCTTCTACTATGTGGCATGTATCTTCCATCATGGATAATCACCATGGCAAAGAAGTAGGGCTACGTCTAGACTGCAAGCCTCTTTCGAAAGGGGTTTGCGAAAGGGTCTTTCAAAAGATACTTTTGAAAAGGAGCATCTACACTACAATCAGTACTTTCGAAAAAGCAAGCTGCTTTTTCGAAAGAGAGCACCCAGGCAGTCTGGGTGCTCTCTTTTGAAAAAGCACGGTGTGCATTACATAGCACCTTTTTTCGAAAGAGCACTTTCGAAAGAGCACTTTCAAAAAAAGGTGTTCTTCCTCATAAGATGAGGTTGTCCGTGTCGAAAAAACTGCCATTTTCTTTCAATTTACTTTTGAAAGAATATGGCAGCAGTCAAGACACAGGGGAAGTTTTTTTTTTTTAAAAGGCCACTTTTTTCGAAAAAACTCTAATCTAGACACACCCTAGATGAGGAGCAAGAGAGTTAAAGGCAAGTTCTGTGCTTAAATGCAAGTTCCGTTACACTAGCAGCAGAGTTGCTCTGATTTACCCTGGAGTGTGAAATTTGGCTCCAACTAAAGACACCAAAGCTTTGGCAGATGCACCACAGTTTTTAAAATGTATTAGAAGCTATCCTCAACGTTTGTCAGGACTAACTCTTGTAGTCAGCACCCCATGATGTTTCATAATGGAACAATTTATTATTGGTGTAATAAGAACAACCAAAATTCACACTTGGGAGGCAATGGAATCCCATTTTACTTATTTAATATGATTTTAATGAAAAATTATGTGGGCAGTTAAAGCCACAACAAGCAAACTCTCTCCTTTTTGTCAGCACAATGGAAGAAAAGGAGGAATGGAAACAGCAGCACAAAGACTAATTTCACTGAGTTCTAGTTCAAGACAAACATTCAAAGAAGTGGGTTCTGCCCACAAAAGCTCATGACCATTTACATTTTTTGTTAGTCTCTATGGTACTATAAGACTATTGGTTGTTTTTTAAGTTTTTCCAGTTACAGACTAACACGGCTACCCCTCTGAAACTATTCTAAGAGCCACCGAGTCCTGTCACCCTGCAGAAGAGAGCTCTCAGTGAGCCAATATTGGGGACCATCAGGCAGGTTCTAAAAGCAACACCGAGTGACTACATACTCAGCTGCTTTATGATGGGATGCATGAGAGTTTATACACGGAGATGGGGAACTCAAGAAAATGGGTTCTTCTCAACTGTGCTGCACTTCTGGTCCAGTTTCCCAAAGGAGAGGGAGAATTTTTCGGGCCAATGAGCTCCTCCCTGTGAAGGCAGCTTGGGTCCCCTTTGTGTCAGTCATTCCCAGACTTCATCCCTGTTTCTAAGTTCGATTCTCTGCCATAGAAAAGTGCTATAATTTGAAGGACCCAATTTGCATAACTTTGACACTGCTTGTGCAGCTCTTTAACAAGGTGATGAAAAAAGTGCTAGAAAGACTGGATATTATTGGGAATTGAACGCCTCATAAAAATGACTCTTAAACCCTTCCATCTCCTTATTCCAGCTTCCCCAGGGCTGGAGCTGGCATCAGCTGAAGGTAGAGAGGTAGGCCGGGCAAAATATGGCCCACAAGCTGAATCCAGCCTGCCTCACCACCGGATTCAGCCCACAGATGCTGTGAGCTTCCCTGCTTGTCCCGCAGCTCAACCCGCCACTCACAAAAGTGGCTGAGGGGCTGTTTCTCTTTAAAAACTGTAAGGGGGGAAGGCTTCAGGCATAACTCCTGCCCCCAGCACAATCCCATCCACTGGCTTTTGGCCAGAAACTGGCCAATGGGAGCTGCCTGTTTGAATAACAGGCAGCCATGAAGCACTAGCTCCCTCCCCTCCAGCTCAGTTATTCACACAAGCACATGGCCGGTCAGCCTATACAGATGTGGGGCAGGCCGGCTGGCTGAGAAACTTTTTAAGCTCTTCAAGCCTTAGCTCTGCAGGCAGGCAGTCTGGTTGGGCTGCTGGCTGGTAAGTCTCCTGACCAGAGCCTGCCTTTGGCACCCCAGCCCCTCCTTTCCCCAACCCTCTGTCCCCCCACTCAACATAACCCAAATCCCCTGCCTAGACCACAATCTCTCTTTACCCTACGTTACAAACCAAACTCCTGCACCCTTGTCCCCTCCCCTAGGTCACAGACCGAACCCCTGCACTCCAGTCTCCTGCTCTAGGTCACAACTGCCTCCTTTACCCAAACTCCCTCTCAGAAACCACTCTCCCTCCTGCACCCCAATCCTTTACCCCAACTTCCCTTCTGTGCCTGACATCCATCCCAGACCCCACAGCTCTTCCATTAATATAATGGAAGAATGCGGCCCTCAACCACTTTACAAAATTTTGGAGTGCCCCCCCCCCCAGGATAAGGCATCAGCTGAAGGTAAGGAGTTTGGGTGGTCCCAATGGCATAATGGATAAGACATCGACCTCTGGAGCATGGATTGAGGACTAAACATTTGTCATTGTCCTATGCAATGAGGTGTAACAGTTAACTCGAACTAAGGACTTAGTTCGAGTTAACGTTTGACTGCCGCGTGTAGCCGCGGGCAGTTAGTTCGGACTAGGGGGATTTAAAAATGGCACCCGGGCGGGAAGATGCAAATAAAGCCCGGGATATTATAATCCCGGGCTTCATTTGCAACTTCGAATGCCTACATTAGCCACCCTAGGTCGAACTAGGGGGCTAGTGTAGACATACCCTCAGATATTAGCTTTGTTGGTTTCCCCTATTTATGTTAAATAAATCTGCCCGTGCAAACTGTAATTTTGAAAAAATGCTATAGATTTTAAATCATGGCTTCCGTCTATTTCCATTTTAAAATTTGATTTTTAAATCTCTATTTCAGTTTACTTCCATTTTTAGAAGTTTTATTTAAAATATCTTCATATTTCTAGTTTGATTGCTTTTTTAGAAGTGATCAATGTTTAATTTTAAGTCACAACATGCTGCTTACTGTGATACTCAACAAATACAAAGTCAGGCCCCAAAATCATGAAGACTTTTGTATATGCTTAACTTTAGGCATAGGAATACTCCCTTTGAATTCAGTGGGTTTACACAGTTGTATAAAATCAATCATATGCTGAAGTCTTTGCTGGATCTGGGCCTAATATAATACAGATTATATGATAATTCCCCAATTACTCATTTGCTCCTAATTTTTGTATTAATTTGTTCAATATTCAGAAAAGCTGTTGTACAAATTAATGTTTTAACAGGAGGTTGATTTAATGGATACCAGCCAGACGCAATAGGAGTTGAATACGTTGATGAAAAAGAGTTCACCTTGTTAATTAGCTTGAGAAATAGAAACTAGTCACTGTTTTTTTCGAAGGATGTTCAAAATGAAACAGCTCTCATCTATTCTAGAAGCTCTACATTTTCTAGAAGATTGGCCTTTTGAAAATAAGAGTCTTCTTAATGCTCATCAGTGGACCTGTAATCTTTTGAATTTGGCAAACATAGAAAAAATTTCTTACAGGCATTTAAAGTAAATGAGACAAAATGTTTTGAGGACTGAATCAGCTAGCTATCTCTTCTATTATTTTTAACGGTTTGACAAGCCCTCTCCTGGAGATACAGTGGATGATGTGGCCAACTGTTGTTCATTAAATACGTTGTTCTTCCCCTCACCAAAAGTAGTGAAAAAAGCTATTTATTCCTCAGTCATATACACATTTATTTCCCCTTATCTGAGAATTTTCTCTCAGGATAAAAGTGCCATCACAGAACTGGTATTGCAGGCAATTGTTCAAATTTAATGCCTGACTCAGGTACCCTCCCTCTCTAGGGCAGCTTAGGGCAGCATGTGATACTGTCCATCTCTGGATTTCCATAAAAATTGCTCTGTATCTATCAATGTTTCTTAACCTCCCCATACCCAATTTTGAGACTGGTCCATATTATGCTAAGTGGTACTATGATTTAATCTACTCTTCTACTTGATGTTCAACAATCCACCTACAGTTGTCATGGCCTGCTAATTCATTTTTATGATGTCCCATGATACTACTAACTCAAAAAGATAATGGGAGAAAGAAATAGGCCAGGTCTACACTAGATCCAGAAACTTGGCTTAAGGTACATAACTCCAGCTACATAAAATATGTAGCTGGAGTCAGCTTAGCTTATGCTGAGCTTGGCGCCATCCCCACAGTAGAAGGCCAATGTAAGCAAATGCTCCTATGAGCTTCTCTTACTCCTTTCAGAAGCAGGAATACTGACTGCTGGTAGGGGCACCCTCTGCGTTCAATTTAGCGAGTCTTAACCAGACTCACTAAATCAATTTCTGGAAGATCGATCATGGCAGCATCAATCTTCCATGGACTGAAGACAAGGCCATAGTTTGTTTGTTTGTTTGTTTAAAGGAAAACACATAAACAAACCCTGGAAGATCAGAGGAAGGATAGAAAAACAGATTTAAAAAACTGAGAGAAACAGGAAAATATGTTAGGATAACCCAAAAGGCAAGAAACTCCCCTCCCTCCCCCCAAGTTATTTACCCTTTCTGCTCTTTTTTTCTGCTCCTTCTGTATCATCTTCAAATTCTTTCACCTGTTCCCACTTTTTCCCATTTCCATTCTTTCCTTCTTGCATCTTTCCTCAGATTTTCCATTTCCTCCATCCCTATCTTTATTACGTTTGAAGATTAATTTCAAAACATTCTCACTTGGTACATTTGCACTAAGCTTCTTCTCACCCATGGCAAATCTCAGAGGGCAGCATTGTTTGCGATGTTAGTTTAGGAAGACTTTTAACATCATGCCAAATGCTAAATATAAATAACCATAAACAACATGCACCTTAACCAGTCTGTACCTTGCTGCAGGGAGCAATCCAGTATGCTATGGCGAGGAAAGGAAGGCCTACCGAAACTCCAAAGACAGCCAAGAATTTCACAGCTATAGACTGCTGACGTAAGCCTGAGAGATTTTCATACCACATGGTGAGCAGTTGCTGCTGACAGTTCGGATGAGCGACAAACTGTAAATAAAATAAAATAAAAACAATAACACATTTTTTGAAGCATTTCCGGAGAGCATGAGATTTCAGAAAGCAAACTGCTGTGCCCCAAACATAGACTGCAGCATGGAGATAGACAGCAGGTTGTAGTAGGTTCTGCAGCCCACCAGAGCCAAGCACACTTCATTTTTTGTAATCAGACAAAGCTCATAGTATAATCGTTTAGAAAACTGCAAATCAGTCTCTCTAAATATGTGCTCATTGGCAACATTTGTTCACCCATCATCTTCAGTTTCTCTGGAAGGAAGAGACATTGCTACACTCGATCAGACCAATGCCCCGTTAATCTAGGATCCTGTCTCGGACAGTGGCCAGTGCCAAAAGAGAGCTAATGGTAAGTGTCAAATTTCAGAAGGGTAGCCATGTAAGTCTGTTTCCATAAAAACAATGAGGAGTTCTTTGGCACCTTAAGGCTAAAATTCATTTGGAGATGGGATCATCAGCTTTCGTGGGCACAACCCACTTCTTCACATGAATAAACAACCAACATTGACACTGGGGAGGTAGTGGGGGAATGGAGTCCCATTTTACTTATTTAATATGATTTTAATAAAAAAATTATGTGAGCAGCTAACGCCATAACAAGCAAACTCTCTCCTTTTTGTCAGCACAATGGAAGAAAAGGAGGAATGGAATCTGCAACAAAAATAAAGACGCATTTCACTGAGTTCTAGTTCAAGACCGACATTCTAAGAAGTAGTGGGTTGTGCCCACCAAAGTTCACGATACCTTATACATGTTTTTTTTTCTTTAAAGGGCTGCAAGACTATTCATTGTTTTTTAAGTTTTTCCAGTTACACACTAACTCGGCTACCCCTCTGAAATCTGTTTGGGTATATGCTTTTGTGGGCCTGAACTCTCTTCACCAGAGGCATGAAGTAGAAACATCAGTTTAGCAGAGATATATCCACATGCAAAGATGGGAGTGTTACATGACTATGCAGAAGAGTTTGAAGCTCCTTGGAGGACTGCAACTTTAGCACAGCTCTGTGGACACTGATCCCTTCTTCTGTAACACCCTTATCACCCACACCATTAATGTTAACTTGCTTCATTTACATTGACTACCTGAGACAGCGGTTCCCAACCGCTCATCCGTAGACCAGTGTCGGGCCACCAACTGCTGGCTGCCGGGCCATGGTAGCTGCCAGAGCTGAAGCTGGCTGTTTGCAGTGGGGCTGAGAGCCGGTGCACACCCCTGCCTCCTGAGCTTCTGCACAGCAGCCAGCTTCAGCTCCAGCAGCCACCAAGTGGCAGGTGACTACCAAAGCTGAAGCTGGCTATTTGCGGCAGTTCTGGGGGTTGGGGCACATTCAGTGAACCAGCAACATTTCATTTGCATATTTGCATATTCATTATTTGCTAATGAATACACAGATATGCAAATAAAATGTTACCAAAAGTCCACCAAAAGTTTGTGAAAGTGTTTGCCGGTCTGCGGTATAAAAAAGGTTGGGAACCAGTGGCCTAAGAGAGCCAACACTAAGTATTTTTCTTTTTTTCCCCCATTTGCATGGTTCTATTGCTTCAAAATACTACAAAATGTTAGGCTGCTCCTTGTAATTAGCAAGTGTAAATGCTTTCCCTGATTTTTTTTTTAATAAATGGAAGCTCATTACTCACTGATGTGCAAAAAAGTAAATGAGATACAAAATGCATAAGACTGTTCACCTGTACGCAGCACATATTTCTCATGCCAGAGTTGAGATTCTTCATCATTTTTTCTTTGCCACTGAAAAGAAAATGCTAGTTTCAAACAATCCAAAACTAGTTTCCTTTTGGAAGAATTACTGCATGATTGGGTCACAGAATCATTTTATTATAGAAGAACAAACTTTTTTAGTTCCCATCTTTCCACAGGGTGATTCAATCTACAAAATGTATAATGTGACAACTTTTTAATTATGTTTTATCATGATTAAAGATAAGGATAATTAAAAAAGGAGATAGAAGGAAACATATTATTTTAGTTAATTGTGTTTTCAGGAAGGAGTAGTTCGTTTATGGGTTTTGAAAGGTATTGAATAAGATAAGATTAAAAATATTGAATATTTCTCCAGTTTCTCCAAAATTGGAAATAAAGAAAAATGTCTGGATTTGAATGGTTTCATAGTAAAATGACACAAAAAACTGAAAAGGACAGAAAATCTAACTAGTGCTTTTATATTAACTATCTTTGTAATAACTAGCACATAGAAAAAAATCACATATATATCTGTTTATATATAATGGATAATTACAAATGGTAATTGTTTCTTTATTGTTGGTACAGATTCAAATACAATAACATGCTAATTAGGATTATGGTGAACTGGTGCTTTCTGTTCTGCAAATAATAGTACTTTAGTATGTGCTTTTCAGTTAAAAGACAAGCTTTTGGGTCAGTCTTTATGAAAATTTGGATTTACGGATACTGCTGAGTTGAGCTGAGCAAAAAGTTCATAGTGAATAATATATTTGACATAACAAATGTTGCCTCTTTCTTTATACAAATTTCCCTGGAGAGTTCATAATTTTCTTGAATAGATGTATTATTCTAAATTAAAAAAAAAAATTATTGGTCTATAAATCACTGGCCAACTTCATTCTGAGTATTTCAAATGTGAGCTCAATTGGTGACTAAGGCTATCTGACTATAAATTAACATTCAGTGTTGTAGTTCAATGAATGCTCTTAGGGTTATTTCCTTTTTATGGCAAAGAAACGAAAGTTACCTCTGAAAGAAAAGTGGGAAAATTGTCAATTACCCTGCAAGATTTGCATTTAAAGTCAGGAGACCTAATGGACTGTAGGTTGTATGGAACAGCTTTTTTTTTTTTCTGAATAAGTGAAAAGGATCTGTTAATTGCAATGTAAGAATTGACTGACAAGAAGAAATTTGTTGTCCTTGGCTGAAAGTCAGTCAAAGACTCATGCTAGTTACCATCCAAAAGAACTATTCAGACATTTTAATCTTTCACTGTGTCACTGTTTCTGGGAACAGCTACAATGAAAAAATGAAAAATGAAAAAAAAATGTGGAAAATGAGAAGAAATTGCCATGAAAACTGAATTTATTGAAACAATTTATTTTCTGCTACACATTTAAATTGGCAATGTGCCATAAAGCCATCATGACGTTCATCTTTCTCTGACAAATATCAAAAGGAGGAAAGAATAAAATCAGAGAGGGAAGATAACTGATTAGAATTAATTCAAGCGCTCATTTTCTGACAGCACACTACAATTTTTCATTACATTTGCTCCATAAAATATTAATGACATTCTCAGTGACCCTTGTATAATGCAAACTTTCCCACTACGTTGATCAAAATGTCATAAATTGATCTTAGATTCCAATCACACACGTGCATTACCGATGTGTTTAACTTGCCATTCTGGGAATCAACACTGACATTAAATTCAAAGATGACACTAAAGGCTTATCTAGTATCATTGGCGGAGATAATAATAGAATTCAAACAAAGAGACCAAAGGCAGTGTGTTTTTATGGTACTGAAGTTATAGCAAATGAGGAAATGTGATGTATTATGTTTAATTCCATAGGGCCAAGTTCTGCGGAGTTTTACCAAGCCAAACTCCCATTAACTCCAATTTGCCCAATTCAGGACTGCAGCATGTGGCCTGTAGATGATTAGGAACAAGCAGTGCTGATGAGAGTCTTTGCTAGGCCCTGGGGAGAGCTGGCTAGCCTCAGGCTACGTCTACTCTGCAGGAATTTGTCAGCAGAGGCAATGCAAATGAAGCGCTCATTAGCATTTCTCACACTCTCATTTGCATCGTCTCTTCTGATCCTTTTTGCGGAAGAGGTATTTGCGCACCAAAAAAAAAAAAGCAGTGTAGAGAAGGCCATTTTGTGCAAAAAAAAAAACCCTTTTGTGCAAGATCCCTTATGCCTCAAAAAAGTTTATTCCCATTGAAATCAATAGAAAGACTCCCATGGACTTCAGTGGGAATTAAATTGGGCCAAAGGATCATTTCCCAGCAGGTGGGGTTAAAACCCTGTGGGCGGAGGAAGTCCCGCCTCTTCACCGAAACTGGGCATGCTCCAAATGTTTGAGCAGCATAAAAGGCAGCAGAGCAGCTCAGTCTGGGCTGCCGCTGAAGGAGAAGAACCTTCAGCCAGAGCACCAGGACTTCACCAGACAGCAACCCAGACAGTGAGAGCCAGAGCCCAACGGAGACCACTGCCACACAGCCCCAGAGAAACCTCAGGGAGAAGCCGCTGCTGTGGAACCAGAAGACCTAGGCACTACATGGGACTCCACCCCACCAGCACAAAGTGACCCAGGGAAGGTGCAGGTAAACTGATTCCCCGCTGAGAGAGTGTTAGACCACTCTGCCACTCACAGGTCCCTGGGTGGGGCCCGATGGAGTAGGGTGTGCCCGGGTGCCCCTACTGGAGTGACTGGCCCCAATCCCCAACTTATTGACTTTGGCTGCTAGGCCGTATCACCCTGAATTAAATGGCCACCCCATATTGACTGTGGTCACTAGACTGAGTTTGCCCTGAACCTAGGACTACCCATTATGGACCCTGTCTGTCAGGCCATACCTCCCTGATTGAAGTGCTACCCTATTTCTTTAGTCACTGGGATGCACTACCCTAAAGTGAGGGTTGGTTTACAGGGACTAAGGGAGATCGCTGATGGCCTGGCAGCTAAGGGGACGATGTCCACACCCCTGAGCACCCTCCATCCAAGGGACAGGGTGTGCATACGCCATGACACCCTTGCAGAATTAGGATTGTCAGAATCTGTAAAGATATACCATCCTGGAGAGTAGGGTTCCCAAATTGCTGTATCATTTGATGCATGACAGCCATTTACCCTTGCTCACCACACATGTATTGTAGATAATCCACTGTTCTCACAATAAAGGACAAGGCTCTTCCCAACAGACTTCTTAAAAGTTTTCTGTATTGTCACGTGTAGTATGCAACAGTCATGTGTCTGTTACTGT